ACTTTCAGTTGCATCTGCTGTCAACAAACAAGGTCCTAATTCCCTATATCAGGTCAATGTCTTGGCCTTAGGCATAATGGTTCACTGTGCATGGGTGATACTAAGAACATCACAGACCTACATCAAGCTAGTGAATTTAAGAAGGCGTGGGATGGAAGACAGAGCAGACAGTCTGTAAGCACAGACTGTTATTGCTCATTTTTTGTTAAATACTGTTGCTACCCACTATGAAGCATTAGCTTAATTAACTCAGGGACAAAATCTTCTGTCTTGGTGAAGTCCATCAACATCCGAGGAGTATTTGGTCCATGTTACAAATATGAAAATGAAATGGAGATTTATTTGGGTACAGTCTAATCACAGAAAAGCCAGCCTGTCTCAGAGATGAATGTACTTACAATTTCAAAAGTAGAAAAATTGGTACTCTACCCTTCCATTGCTTATCACACGTAAGGAGAAATTGACTTGAAACCCTCAGTTTTTTACCTTCGCTTCTCAAAGGTGAATGGCATCCTGTAATTAAAAGCAAAAACAAGCTCGTATGCCTACACATTTGAAAAAAGAAAAAAGCAGTGAAAAAACCTTGTCAGGCTGTTATTACTGCATGGTATTATCTGCTATTGATATTCCTGATCTGACATTTTTAGATAATGCGGTCTCAGCTTGGGATTCGTGGATTCCAGTTCCTCTGCTGTGGTGTATTCTTTCATGGTTAGAATTTTCTGAATTTACAGCATTAAGATTGGGCTAATGATAGAACCAGAACACACTTTTTTGCCTTATTTATGCAGTGTGATTTCACTCTTTGCTTTTAATGCTCTTTATCATGGTTACTCTGGTCTTATCCTCTACCTCCAAAAGTAGGTGATGACTAATGCTTCCAAGGAAGGAGGGATAACAGAACCTCAGACGTCCACAGCTGATTTCAGTTGGGGTTTTGTTTTTGATATTATTCATCATTTTACCTCTTCTATTTGAAGTTACTATTCTTAAAAATGGTCTTACGCCATCAACCACCATTTCAGAAAAGGTAGCTGGAAAATTGAAGAGAGTTCAGAGTAAACAAGCATGAAAAAAAACAAGAGAAATCTGCCCTTTACAGAGAGTTTAATTGATACTTAATTTAAACATTTTGTTTTGATTTAAGGAATGATCTGTTTGCATTCTGAAAAGATCTACATAAGGAAGAGAGGCAAGTCGGTAATGTAGATGACAGGAGCATAACCAAATGCAATGTTTGAAAGTGGATCTAGCTAAATTTTAAGCCAGACGTAAAGGAGAATCTGTGATTATGGTGCTTAATTTTTTTTTTCCATACAATTTACCTAATGCTGTGTTGGGTTCTTCAACACTTTCTTTGTTTCAGTTGAGGCTATGTATGCTTTATAACAAATAATCTTTAGCTCCACAGACACTTTGTGGTGCAGTAGTTGGGGATGGCTCAGGGTTAGTCAAGATGATCAATGAGAGGCTTTCAAAGCAGTGACACAGAGAAGATTTAAGGGATTTTCTGGGGGGGATGAGGCAGTGAATTTGGGAAAGGGGTGTTGCCAGAGCGGTCAGTGAGTAAAGAGTCATAGAAAAAGCTTATAGCAGTCAGATCAGGAAGGGAGCTGTGAGTTACAGCTGGCCAGGGATGGCTGTGGGAGGGTGGCAGGCAGACATTCAGAAGGCTTTAGCCAAGGCAGAGAGAGGTGTGGCACTGACAGGGGAGCAAGGTGCTGACAAAGGTTTTTCCAACCTTGCTGTGTTAATTGTTGTGTGGCTCGATCTACTGAGGTTTGCCAGGAAGGGGCTCACTGAATGCAAACAGTGCCTGACAAATTACTTGCTTGGAGCAGAAATGTAGGGGCAGCTGTAGATTTCATCTGAGGGTTAACATTTCAGTGAAAATTAACTTTTAATGGAAGAAGATAGCTCAAAAGTGAAACGTGTTTGCTGGCTGTGTTGCTGGCTGGCCAGAAAAGCACTGCTGTTACCTCTCCAAGTGCAGGCACCACACTGACACTCAGGCAGTGACATGGGTAAGAGTAAGTTTAGAGTAAGGGAGTTAGTTAGGTCCAAGTTTTCCTGTGCTATTTTAGTCACTTGTGCACATCACAAATGTTCTGCTCCAAAGAGGCTTCTGATAGAAAACCAGGCAGTATTGCAGGGAGTGGAGAGAGAGCACTGAGGGCTTTGTCTGAATTAGCCAGGGTGCTCCACCATGGAGAAGTCTGCTGAAAGGTGGGGGGGGCTGTGCTTGTCTGAACCCACTGTCCCTTACATTTTTCCTTGCTTTTGGCATTTACCAGCCAAAATGGAGGCAAAATAATAGCAAGCCCAGAAATTTAGCTTCAGCTTTTAAAAAGAAATGAATTCATTTATTTTTTCTATGATTGTGCAGCGTAGTTAGGCTAAATTTAATTGAGACTGGGGAGCTGGGGCTGGAACAGATGAGGAAAAGGGAACTTGCTGAAAATACTGTCAGGGCACAGATAGCAAAAACAAGTGGCAGTAAATGCATAACAGAAAATGAGGTGGGGAGAAAGAGGAAGAGAAAAGGCTAATGGGGAAACAATTAGAAAATACCACCATGGCCAAAACAAAGGCGTTAGAGGTTTGCTGAGAGGGAGCTGTGTGCCAGTGTACAGTCAGCAGCTGAGTTCCAGCACTGTGGTCTCCCTGCTGTCCATAGGAGCTGTCTGCTTTCTAAGCTCATTTGTTGAAATTCTCTCATTGTCTTCAGCCGTGCTCAGTGCTGTGCAACCTGGTTACTGAAGCAATGTTCTTGGTTTGTGCATCTCACAACCCATCCCTGTCATCAGCCCAGCAGCCCATGAGAGTTCATTGGTACCAAGGCATGCTGCCGGGGGGGTGGGTAAGGAACACTCTAGAGCAGGAATGGTGATAATCTAGTCAGTAACAGGATCTTTTTTTATTTTTTAGCTTTAAATCAGCATGGAGGTAATGTCCAGGGTCTGAGGGTGCTTCATTGTGGCAGGAGGCTCTTTCATATCAGATGTCAAGTCAGAGTCTGAAAACCTGTCAGAATTAAACTCCAGGATGCTTTTAGCAATGGGTAAGGTACAGTCATCTTTGGATGTAATAACTCTGCAGAGTGCAGCTTGTCCTGTTTAGCTCTTAAGGCTGACTGCCCTCATTGCTTTCTGCTCTTAAGACCTAGATAGTTGCCTGAGTTTTATTGCTGCTTTTACAGTTTTGAAGGATGGAGGAGGAGGAGGATAGCAGTGTAGGTGAATCTTACTGCTGGAGTGGCAGTCATTTTCCAGGTCCATAGGGGCTGCTGTCAGTAATGGGAAGTGCCAGGCAGTGGGACCATGGTTTGTGTGCCCTCAGCCCCCACTTGTTGTGACTGGTTTCCTCTCCTGCCTTGTGGGGAGGACCTGTCTTTCACTTCTTGCTTTCAGAATGATGCTCTGCACTCTTACTGTGGGGTTGGACAGCAGGCCTGAGAGAGAGAGAAGTCATGTCCTTGAAGCTCAGCCTTGGGTACATCTCTGGGCTGTTCCTGCTGTGCTCCTGTCTGCCTCATTTCTAGGCAGCTCCAGTGTCTTCATTTCACTGGTATTGGGTTCCTAGTACAGCAAGTTCACTTCCTAGTGGTAGGAATTGTGAAACCACTGTCTGCACATCAAGCAGTCAGACTGCATGGCCAGGAAGAGACAGAAGTGCTGGGACTGATGTTTGGCACTTGTCAATTCCTCTCTCACACAAGGAGTGATGCAGGTGAAAGGTGACCAGAAATTTTCACCTCCTAGTATTGGGTCAGACATTGGGGTGTAAAGTAGAAGTTACCTCTCAAGCAGGAAGCTGTTTTTTGAAGTAAATTTACTTGTTGGAATAAGCACACTTGTATATCCATCAGTTTTGACAGTCACTGCTCTTAGCTGGAAGTGCTCACCCTGCACTACCATGTGGAGACCTTGATCCTAACTCTGATGCACTGATCCTTTTCCATGATGAAATCAAATCTTTCCTGATTGGGTCACAGATGCCTGCTGGTTTTGGTAGCCTTAAGGGGTTCTGACACCAAAGCAGTGCATGGGCAGAAGGAGCAGGGTGCTCAAGAGCTGCAAAATTACCATTAACTTTTGTCTGTGTGAGATCTTCATTTCTCCATCAAATCTCAAATCCAGCTCCATAGGACCATCTGACGATACAGTAGGACTAGCATGGCTACCCTGCAAGTGTGGTTTGTGTGTGGTGAAAAGCACTTGTTCATTGGAATTAACAGGATTTTTATGGGCAACATTTTCAGCAGCATCCGAACCCAGTTCTCAAAAGTGATGTAGGCTTTTAAGAGGCCAAAGCCAAGATTTTCATAAATAAGTAATGATTTGGGCTCCCTCTGTTTTTTGTTACACAAGTCTAAAAGGAGCCTGGTTGTCAGGGGTTGTGAGATTCTGGCATTTATTCAAAATTGACATGCTTTTAAAATGTCTTAAGCTGGGCATTCAGAAATGGAGGCATCAAGAATGATTAGCTACTTTTGAAATCTGTTTTCTTAAAAGTCTGAGTGAAAATCACTGGGGCATGAGGTCCTAAATGACATGTGAAAAAGTGCTAAAAGTGTATTTTGGAAGTGTGTGTGCCTATCTGTGACTAGACTTGTCCCCAGAGCACCTGCACTGTTGTACATTAATGTACTCAAAAAGGCTTAACAGGGAAAGGCAAATACATCGCTGCTGTGCTGAATTCAGGGTGGGATTGATGGGCTGCTTCAGGGTATCAGCCTGTCTCTGCTCTTGAAGAGGAAAACAGCAATGATTTTTGCAGGTACCAACAATAACCTGATCAGTAATTCTGACCTGCTGGGGAGAGAAAGATAAATTTGCATCTGAAGTCCTATACATTTGGAATAACGTATTTAAAGTTAAACATGTTTAGAAGGGTTTTGTAGGATTGATTTCATAAACCAGAAAAACAGTAGGATTGCAGCTGTTACTTCCCCAGCCTAAATTCCTAATGTACGTGTGACTCTCTTTGTGTCTCCCCAGACTGAACCATGTCCCACCCATCCTGGCTGCCACCCAAGAGTACCAACGAGCCTGTTGGCCACGTTGCTGCAAGGATGGAGACCACACACACCTTTGGGACTCCCAGCATCTCCGTGTCCACCCAGCAGACCCCAAAGAAGTTTGCGCCTGTGGTCGCCCCCAAGCCAAAGTACAACCCATACAAGCAACCAGGAGGTGATGGTGAGTATTTATTTTCTAGGAAGGAACCACAACTGCCTGGTTCAAAGGAGCTGACTGCTAACACAGGCTGTTCCTGATTTGCTCTTCGTTGGTGAGTTTGTGAGAGCCTCCCTTTTTCGGGTCGTTCTAATCAAGAAGGATGTGAAGGTATCTCTTCCTCTTGCTCTGGCTAGCTACCCTCCTGAGAAGTGCAGGGCTGGGAGAGGACGTGAGGACAGATCTTTCTCAGTTTTAATTGAAAGCAGATGTCCTGTGTCCAGGACTGGTACTTTTCAAGGGGTTTTGCTTGTTTGGTCCCTGCTGGCATGTGATGATTCAAGGAGCTTGGGCTCAAACAACCCTTTTCAGTATTGGTGCTTTCACCCTAGCACAGGGAATGCTTTACAAACAAGGGATTCATCTGTGGAATATAAGTATAATCAGGGGTGGTGCATAAATTTGGCCAGTGAGTTTGGAAGTGTTTTCTCTCCAGTCAGCTGGATGGATTGTACTAGTTTTGTTCTTTCCCTCTACCATGGAACACTCTTGAATATGAAATAATTGGGAAGATGTTTAGATGACCAATGGCCTGTGGGGCTGTTACACCAGCAAAACAAATGCCTGCCAGTCACTCTGTGTCAGCCTTCCTCTACTTCTTGCTGTGAAAGTCCTCCTCTCCTGATGTAGTTGAGCAGCAAGTGTGGGATTTGGGTTCCTGGCTTGTGCACCCATGGAGGGAGGGAGTTTCCAGGAGCAGAAGGGTGTGGCTGGGAGCACCTCTGGAACTGGCAACGGGAAACCTGCAAATTGGAGCACCTGGGATGCCCCTGGCTGACAGTAGAGAGTTTGTGATGGAACTGCAGCAGAAAGAAGTGAAGGCCAAGGATTTTAGGAGAGAGTGGTAGTTGTTTTGGCATTTCTATTCCTGGTGATTTACTGTAGGTAGAAGTGGGGGAGGTTCTTCCCTCATCCCCTCCAAAGAAAAGCTCAGCTGTGTTCAAGAAAATTGCCAAACCAGCTTTTATATTTGGTTTTGGATGCTCTGCATTGTTCCTTCACTACTTTTTCCTCTTTTATGTTGAGTACAATAACATAAATATCTTCTGTATATTTTTTCCTCTTTCCGCTCTATCTTTTGAAAGCGTATACATTTTCAGGAACACTACAGAGCAATGGAAAAGAGAAAGAAAAACAAAGCAGCATATTAAATCTTACACTTGAGTGATTTTCTAAAGTTAAGGACATTTTATAGGAAAGTTGGAAAAGCCTGATGAGTGTTTTGGGTATTTTTTGTCTGCCGCTCTAACTTCGGAGAATTCAGAACGAAAAAAGAAAATGTGTTGGAGGGGGGAAAGCAAAGTCATAATGCACCTGTTCTGCTGCTTTCCTTAACAAAACTTAGTGAGAAATAGGAAGAGAAAGACATTTGGAATTTAAAAAGTAAAAAATAATCCATTTCTGAAATGCAAAGAAAATGTCACCTTCAAGTCAAGTGGAAATTCTTATTTTTCTAATTCTCTTGCAATTCAAAATAATAATGGAATATGGTCCTTCTTTTCCTAGGAAATCTGTTCTTGATCAGTCAGGATTTTTTGTGTGACAAAGGTCAGTATGTCTTAATTGTCAGGGTTTTAGTGATTGTAGGTCTAATTGTATGTGACTCAGGAACATTATCACCTTCTAAAAAAATTCTGTGCTTCTTGCCACTTGTGGAAGGAGTTTTCCCAAAGAGCAGAAGAGGCACTGCAGGCTGAGAAGGGGAGACAAGGCACTCAAACATTTCTTATGTAACCCAGAGTCCCTGATCCTGCAGGCAGTCAGGCATCGCTGGGTCTGCTGGAAACCAGGAGACACTGGGGAGCTGCCAGGGGACTTTGTCAGTGCCAATCCCTTTCCTTGTCTGACACTGGGCTTTTAGAGATCCCATCGTTATCTGACAGGCCTAGAGGAGCTAAGGGCTGGCCAGGACCTGGTCAGAGGTAGGCTTAGTGATGTGGTAACATGCCTGCAGCTTTAGCTAATCCACTTCCAGAAGGTGACACACTGCTGGTTGCTGTCAGCAGCCTGTGCAAAGCCATTACCATCCATATATAATCCTGAGAACATGAGGCTTCTGGGATCTGCCAGGCGAGGGCTGGGGGGGCAGTGAGAAATAGTTAGCCCAATGTGCTTCATTCACTTGCTATGGCTCCCTTCTCTCCTCCAGGCTCCCTAATTGTTTTTTCAATGACCTCCCTGATTTCTGCAGCAATAATTCAGCCTGGGAGATGGCTCCAGACCCCACTGGTTCCCTGCTTACACGGGCACTGCCATTTTGCCTCAGTTTGTCCTCTGTTGGACACAGGTCTATCCCACCTGGTTAGCTGTGAGTCTGCAGGTAGGGGAGCAGCAGCACCCCCTCGAACCCTGGTGTGTTTTCATCTCTCCTACCCTGCCAAAGCTGCTTAACTGGAGGCACATGGGCTTCCCATGCATCCATTTGCTGGAGATGAGTAGGAGCAACAGCACTGCTCTGGGGGAGGGTTGTGCTGCTGCTGTTGCTGGTCAAGAAGTGGCTGTGCTCATCACAGCCTTGCCTGCCCCAGCAGTGTCACTGGAATTGGCTCCCTGCGGCCTTTGAAGTATCTGGAATCTCTCTGGGAGACTGACAAATTCTGTTCCTGGTAATTTCTTCAGCTCATTGCTGTTAACCTTTAGGAATGTGCATCCTCTGGCCTTGTGGTTCTTACTATTATTTTGTAGGTATGTTGCTTGTATGTAGAGGGTTTGTCAAGCTGATTATGTTTGTGGTTTTATTTCTTGATCATATTGAAAGAAAAGGGGAAAGACCCTGGAGTGAAAGACTGTGGAGCAGGTGCAGTGTATACTGCTCCCTCCTTCCCATCTCCTGCTAAGGCATTTCCTTAGTCTTGCCTTGACTTAAATTTTATTTTCTATTTCCTGTACCTGCACTAAACTCAGCCAGAAGGTGCTGATTAAAAGCTGCTTAATGGAACTTTAACAGAAGTTAGAAATGGTTACATGACTGAAACAAAGTGAAATGGCAATGGCCAGCAGTTTATGAACCAGGAACATTTTACTGTGATTTGAAGCACTCAAGGCATGTGTTCAGACCACTGAAGTAGCAATTTTCGTGGTGCAGCCAGCCCCCCTCTGTGCTGTTTGCCATGCTGAATTGCTGCAGCTTGTTTCAGACCAGATTTATCCACTCATCAAAGCAGAGTCCTGTTCTTGCAGGGATGTGCCTGGGGGCCCCTGGGTATGGCTGCAGTAGTAGAAGTAATGATCATAATGGTAATCATCATCAATAAGAGCCGAGCCCTGCTCAGCATTCTGCGCAGGTCTGTGCCGTGCAGGCAGCCCAAGCGGCAGGCACAGCCTGTTTGTATAGGTCCTTCCAATGCCTGCTGTGGTCTGGGCTGTGTTTCTGGAGGATTTAGTGCTGCCACTCCCCAGTGTGACACTTTGCAGGGAATAAACTTTGCCAGATCTTGGGAGGTTGTGAGCATCACAGTTCTGGGAAGAGCTGATGCTCATCATCTTGCAGAACTCTGTTTTTGCCCCACAGACAGAGGAGAGAACTGTTCAAGTTTGGGGAAGGTGTTTATCAACAAGGTGAACAATTGTGCATTGGCAGGAAGTATAGCTGCTGAGGAATTAGGCTAGAAATCAAAATTAAATATCCAGACATCTGACCAGTAGCTCTAAAGAGTTTAACTGGGGACAGGGGTGGTCCTTGCATGGAGCTAGATGTGTCTGAAGTTTGAGAGCATCTTCTCTTTATGCTAGGACAAGATGAGTCCTGAGATGGGTGAGGCATCAACCAGCCATGGGTTCTAACAGTCTGATTCTTATATATTTGGTTTCTTTCTCCATGCTCATGTGTTTGGTGTTGCCCTCACTCTTTTCCTCAGCAGATCCCGTCCAGCAGTGTGCACAGTGGGTTTTGTCCTACACCAAAAAACTCTTAAAGGAACTAAGATTTTTTTCTGAGGAGTTGGTATTAATTTTGTTTCATTTAAAAGCAGTGGATGTTCTATCATTTAAAGTGCTCAGGGTCAGGTTGGACAGGGCCTTGAGCAACCTGATTTAGTGAAAGATATCCCAGCTGATGGCAGGGGCTTTGGATTGTATTGTTTTTTAAGGTCTTTCCTATCCAAACCTTTCTGTGGTTGGTCTTCCTCCTTTTCCTGCCACTTACTTCTCTCTTGCTCTTCAGCTTTTAGACTTCAATTGGTATTTCAGCATCTTCAACAGAGCTGGAGCCTTAGGGAAACACTGCCACACAGCTGTTCCCATCTATGCTGGGCTCTGGAAGATAGAAAGGATTTATAGCTTGCAGATGAAGCAAATTCCATCTTTGCCTTAGTTCCAGAAAATGGGGCCTCCCCCTGCAGGGCAGACTAAGGAGGCATCTGGTGTGGGGTGAAATTGGTGATAGCTGATCTGCTGGCTTTGTGCCTGCTGCTGTGGGGCTGGTGCCGCTGGGCTGGCACTGGGGGTTGTAAAGCCAGAGCTGGGGGCTTCAGAAATGTGTAAAATCTGTTGTCAGTCAGAAGAGCCTGAGTCAGGGCCACTGGATGGCTTGGGAGCAGTGAGTTACAAACTTTGCAATATGAGTTGCCTTTTGGTTTGGATGCTTTAGGTTTGAATCTTGTTTCAGTATCTGCAAAAGTTCTTTCCCCCCTTTCCTTCAAATAAAGCTCTGCAAGTCCAGCAGAAACGAGACTGTGCTGAAACAGGTGGAGCAGAGTGGTGAGCTGGGGAGGCTCAGCTGGATTGCAGGGCTGGGCTTTCCAGCCCAGCATTTGTGAGCACTAGTGCAGCTCCCTGGGGATTGAATATAGCTCCTCTGCCACTGTGTGCAGTCACTTGGAGGATGATTTCATGGTGGTAGAGAAGGAATGTACTTCTTACCAATAAGTGCCAGATCATTGAATGGCTTCCAGGAGTTCTCCTGCTCCTGCAAAGATGATTCTTTCCACATGTCTGTTGTTCATATGAACAGGACCATGTGTTTT